AATTTTGCATCCTATTTCCAGGGAAATTCAGAAATTTTACTTGCAGGAAAAGCACAGTGATGAAGGAAAGACATAACAGTTTATTAAATGTGCTATGTATAAGATATTCCACATACAAAATAAATTATGTGCTTCAACTGGACAGACTTATAAAATGGTTTGATGGCTCAAGTCTATTTAAAAGGTAATCTAAGCAAGCTGTGACTGTACAGACATTGCACCTAATCCAAAAGATATTAAAGTTTCCCTGATCTCTTAGAAGCAATCATTTGAGTTAAAAAACTTATTAGGAGACCATGCTTGGAAGAAAGCACAGAAACGTATTTCAGTGAATGGTTCAGACCTACCTTGTTTGCTCTGGAGACCCACCCTCTACTGCAAGTTCTATCTCTGCTGTACAGTACTTATAGTCCATGAATAATGGATACTATAAACAAGCACTAGAAAATGAAAATTCAGTTAACAGTATTATGGAGCTTCTATTCACAAGTGTAGTTCATGAGTGATATGAATTTTATGGTTCTTATCACCAATGAAAAAAATTGCATATCCCATCACAGAGTTCTTACGAGAACTTATTCTGCATTTCTTATCTCAGGATTTTTGTGGTAATAAATAACACATTAGATCCAATGATTTACATTTTTTCAAATTCTAAATACTAATGCAATAGCTCTTTACTGGCTGGTTTCATGTTATAAATTACAACCTTCGAGGTAAATATGTTAAGACAAATACTGATTTCTAAGTAGTCACTATGAGTAAGATTTTATCCTTGTATTGAATTATCATACTTCTTGTGTTTTATTATCTCTGTCTTATCTCCCAGTTACTATACTTTGTGGCAAGTAAATAAATAAATAACACTGTCTCACTTCTGACAGTTCAATTCATTCTGTTCCACAGGGTAGAAATAGCAGGTACAAGCCCATGAAAGGGTTTTCTGGCAGCTCTGCTCAGAGACATTTTGAGATTTGCCACTGTCATAAACACTGCTTTCAGCGTGTCACATCACCAAGCATTGCAGGCTTCACTGTAGAAGTAGCAGGTGAAATCCAGTGCCCGTTGGAAAAATTAGGGAAAAAAGTAACAATACTACTAGGAGATGTCATTGAATTAATAGCCCTTGTTCACTCAACATGTCTGCTCCATGGCTTTTCAGCATTTTTTTGGTTTAATAGATGTTCTTTGTTTTACTGGATAATTTCAGCCTCTAGTACCTGAACATCATGGCTATATGTGACATCTGGTTAAGAAACAGGAGCTCAATTTGCAGTTACAATTGGACCCCTCCATACCCCCATATTCCCTGCTTCACAACCAGCAGAGAGAATCCTCCAGAACAGCTCCAGCCAAGTCAGCATGGGAATATAATCAGTGCAACCTGTGTATAGAACCTATTGGCTGAAGAACTAAATGAGTGTAGCAAAACCTGCACCAAAGCAGAGGTGGGGAAAAAAACACAAATAGAACATCTTGTACACAGCAAAGCTCTGTGATGGAGACCAAGCATGTGTCAGCCCTCATTGTGCCCCCAGCCCACAGTTACCTTCTGTGTCCCATCCCCTCCCTACAATCCAACACCACCTTGTGCCTTGACTTGCAACCACCCTGGCTCCCACATCCTCCCATTCACAGCTCATCTGTGCTTTCCTTCCCAGGAAAGAGCAAGGAAATGGATATGACAAACTCTGCTTCCATAGCACTCCACGGATAGATACATGAATAGGAACGGATAGGGACAAGAAAGACAAAGGCCCTTGAAGGGGTACACAGTGAGAAGACCAATGACTGAATGGAGAAAGTTTCTTCCCTGATGAAGAAGACCAGAGTGCATCAGGCAGCTGGCCTATAGGCAAGTGGAAGAAAACATGTGGATCCAAGGAGATGTTGCAGATGTCCTGGGTCATTCACCTCCAGGTCCAAGCTGGGCTGCTGAGATAGTGTGAACTCAAGTACGCTTGTCAATGCAATCTGCTTTCTGGGAGTCAACAAAACTCAAGCTGATGTTCCAAATATTTATTAAAAAGTAACTGCTAGTGGATAAAAAAAAATCAGTAAGTAGTCCAATGGCAGATTTATTACATTTTTAACAGGTAAAAGGAATTAATCTATTTTATGAACAAAATGGCAATAGGAAAGTATACTGAAGGATTCTCAATTAAACATAAAATGGAAACAGCATATGCAATACACATTTCTATATAAATATATTGGTTATATTCTTCTTAAATTTATGAAACAACATTCGTTAGCAACATCCAAAAATATTTCTTTGTGGCAAGAGATTCATCTTCCTTCACAGCAATACTTCCTCTCCCTAAGTTTCCACGACAGCTATTTTAGAGCTTGGGATGAGAATAGGTATTTGACACACCATATCAAACTCAGAGCAAGAGATTTGAAACTAGTTTAAATATGATCTCAATGAGACTTAAGGCCAGATATGAAACAGGTGGAATTAGCAGAATGTGATTTACACTGTGGGATCTCACTGAAATCTCAAATTGGGATTAAAGCTAGATTGCCATAGGGAAACTGTGACATTGCTCAGAATTCTCAGCTAAAACACACTTCCCTTTTTCTGTAAACAAATATTAACAAAAATAAACTCTCTGTAACCTGTTAATCATTTCCTAACATAAAAATAAGGAGCTGCTTGGGTAGTTTTGAAATAAGTCAATATAAAACTCCATTCTATCCTAAGCGCTGCCTCTCTTAAAGTGCTAACAAATGGCACAGTGTTTCCTGTTTGAGGCCACATTCCCTGCTTTCCATGGTTCATATTGCAAACCTCAGGTCCAGGAGGACTGAGCTCAAGCCTCCAGACATGGTGGCTGAATCAGCCCAGCCCTGGGCACCTCTCTGGGACACACAGAGCCCTTCTGAACAAGTCATGCCGGGGCTGTGCTCCATGTGCTGCCAGAGCAACCCCGTACCCACCGAAGAGCCATCCCCAGCCTGTGGGGTGTGCACTGCAGGGAGCTGCTCAGACCCACTCCAGCACAGCGGGTACTTTGCCTGTCCCCACAGAGATCTGGGCAGGAGCTGGGCTCGGATCCTGTGGCAGAAGATGAGCAGATCGTTTTGCATAGTTTGGTTAAGCAGTGACCATGTGAATCCTGAGGAGATGCCCTACCACGCTCCTGTTGCTCCTATTCCTGCCAGGTGTTGAGGAGACTCTCACAGGTTGCCTGTTCAGGACCTCTTTGGACTTGTTTGGTTCAAATACTTGCTGGCTGTTAACTTTGAAGCAGGAATAAGAAATAGTGCAAATACAAGCTTAAAGAATAAAATAAAAAAACCCCATACCACATTACCTTCACTGAACACTCAGTTAAAAAGGCAATAATCTATAAGATGAAACCCCAATTTTGGGGTATTTGAGATAACTGGCAAACTTAGAACAAGATTCTTCACAATTGCCTTAAAGCATATATTTCACTCGGCGCTAGATGCTTCAAATTATTTGCTAATGTGATTCTAACTGACTGTTGTGGCTAACTGCAAATGACTTTGAAGACTAGTCATGGAACACAGGACATCTCCCTGGCATGATGAGACAAACACTTCCTGCAGTTATGTACCCTCAGTGCTCTTCTTATCCAAGTTTAACTCAAAGTGATTTTGCTTGCTTGGAATGGTGTGAATACATCCAGAGTGGTTTTTCTGGAAGGCGAACAGACAACAGTTATTTCTGAGGGTCAAATACCTTTATTTGGCCATGCTGAGGCAGAATAAGAGGCCAAAACAGAACTCAGTTTGATTCCTATTATGGGAGGCTGGCTGCAAGTGCATTTTAAAACAACATTCATCTGAAGTGGCTGAGATGTTCAAGTTTGAAACTTCCTAAGTGACAGGGCACCCTATAAATGCAGGGGTCCCCCGGTACTGCAGTGACCTTCACCACATGGCAGCACCAGCAGCAGAGGCACTCAATCCACATGGAGGCAACACAGCATGCAAAGTTCCTTGGCTCACTTCAGAAAGGGGCTTAATTTCTCTCAATTCTTCTTCCCCGAATAAATCAGCAGAAGGGACATTCACCAGCAAGTTGGTTTCTGTAAGCAGTGCACAAAATGGCTTACTATCTTCACTAAGGATTAGGCACACAGCCTGCTCAGGCTTTGAGGAATTCCTACATACCTCCATCTCCAGGCATGTACAAAATCTGGTCTTGGTCTTTCAGGGCTCAGTGCTGGGAACTAGTCCTGCTTTGACTAGAACCAAAGAGAGAAGACTGCAGTCCTTGACCAGGGGCAGGGCTGCCTGCTGTCCTCGTTAGACCCCCATGGCTCAGACCTGCCCCTTTCTCTCTGTGCCACTCAGCACACTGCCATCAAGGCAGGTGTGCTAACCTGAAGGTAGAGTTGCACCAGGAGAGTCTTACCTGTTGATTTTATGGGATTGTTTCAAAGCAGGATCTGCATATTTAAAGCCATAAAGAGATGAATTCACAATGAAGCTAAGGAAACAAAGAAGTCATATCTACAGACAGCTGCCGTCACATACACAGCCCTCTTTCATACTCCATTAAAGAAACAGCCTTATCTTTGCCCATGTTCTTATGTCTAATGTGATACCGGCCTCTCCAGCACTTCATGACATTGTTTCCAATGATACAGATAGCACAGCCCAGTCTTTAACAGAACTGATACATAATTATGCTTAAGTAGCTTTCGTCTCTCCACTGCATGAGTTAATGACAGTTCTGTGTGTGAATAAAATGGGGGGGAAAATCTCCAGTTTTTCTTCTATCAGCAAATTCATGTTCTGTGATGGGCAAAAGGAGGGATTTTTGGAACAAACACTGCTTTCCCCTTCTACCTTTGTCTACAAGTGTAAATGTTACTAGAACTTAAAAGTTGCAATCTGTGTTACACAGATGGGACTCTGCTATGTTTATCTTTTTTATTGTGATGTTCATGTAGCAGTGACTTTTGAAAGATGTTTGGAATGACTGCTGGCCGTGACAGGGTACTGCCTAAATTAGAATCAGGCTCCAAGTATCTTACTGCAATTAGATTATGTCATATGTCACAATACTTACTTGTGGCCTGGGAAGGAGAGTGCAATGGTACTTAATGTCTGTAGAAACTTAATTCAAATGAGTGCATCAGGCACACACTGGTCTGGTTTCTGCCTCACATCTAGCCCAGGCTAGTTCCTAAACCTAAGAGGAAATAAAAAGGAAAACACACACCATGCCTATACATACATCCGCTGGCTAATACAGTTGCCTATCTAAAATGTAAAAAGCCATGCAGTTTACACTTTGTTTGATACAGTTTGGGCTAAGTTAATGCTAGAAAAATAGAACTCAGAGGGAGGGGAGAAAGGTTTGTGTGTAATAAATGGAAATTTTACTGCCCCTTGAAGGTTGCATTTCAAGCATAACTGCATTTCTCCATGCACTCTGAATGCTTCCCTTTTCGGGTATTGGCAGGCTTGTGACAAAAGCAACCAAACCGATTAATTAGGCACACAGTGAAAGATGACATATTAAAAAAAAAAAAATAAAAATCAGTCATTTCCATTCTGAAAATCCTTACTCAAAGCCTTGATGTCGTAGCAATGTCAAGCTAAGCATGAAAGGTTGCAGACTCCTTCCTTGCATGAGGACAACACCAGCTGTGCAATGCACCCAGCTAGAAAGGCTCTTATATATACTTAATCCAGAATAAATAGTACTGTCCTGACTCATAGGTGTATTTCCGCATGGTTGTTGTTAGTTGTTATGGCTGGAGAATGCTTGCTTTTCATCCCTTCTGTCCCACCCTTGGACACATCAATGAACAGCAGCCTGGGAGTCCACAGTGTCAGCAATATTCTTTTGTACTCCTTCCGAAAATTCTGGTTAAGAAGCCCATAGATCACAGCATTGAGGCAGCTGTTAAAATAGGCCATAAAATAGCTCAGGACAAAAAGCCATTCTGGAATGTGTGGCTGCACTTTTGAAGGATTAATTGAAACAGCAAGGCCAATAAAGTTTAGTGGTCCCCAGCACACAGCAAAAAGGACAAAAACCACAAACATAGTCAAGAAGTTTCGGATGTCAGTTGCCCTGAGTTTCTGCTTGCAGTCTTGTCTCACCCGGTGTTTGACTTGAATCACCAAAATCCAGATCCGTAGGTAGCAAAATGTCACAACAGAGAGTGGAACAATGAAGTGAACCACTACCACCGTGATGGTGTATGATGTGCTCACTGTCTGGGCAAAGGTGCAGGAGTAAATCCGGGGGTCATACTGCAAGGAGCCAACAAAGAAGTTAGGCACGATTGCCACCACTGTGAGTATCCAGGTCAGGCAGAGATAGCAGCAGGTGTTCTTCAGGTTGAAGAGCTTATCATACCGAAGGCTGTGGCAGATGTAGCAGTAGCGGTTGATTGCAATCGCCGTGATGTTGAAAATGGACCCAATGACACTTAAGCCCATCAGGAACCCACTTATCTGGCAGTGGATATTTCCCATGGTCCATCCATTGTGGAAGATGGCACTTAAGATCAGAGGGTATGGATAAACTGCAACCACGAGGTCTGCAACAGACAAGCTGACAACAAAGATGTTACCTACAAAAAAGAAGAGATCATGTGAGGTTAGCATAGGTCCAGATGGACAACTTGCACCTCAAAACTCCTCTTTAGGCCAAAGTCTTCTGATGGATTTCACCCTAGTCTCCACTTGGAATTTGAAATCCTAGAAAATAGGACTTTGCTCTACTAGTGACAGCAATGGAAAGTAACTACACATGACTGATCTGCATCTTCCTTCTTAGGAATAGTCTACACTAGAAGTGTTACCCTTTGGAAGTCAGGTACCTGTGGTCCTCTAAGTTGTGAGGAGAGAAAGAATTTGTTCTCCTTGTTGATCAGCCAGCCTGATTCTCTGACCAAAGGAGTATGGTAGGCAAGTTATGTTTTCAGTGGTTTATTCATTTCACTGACAGTAGTTTCACAGGAAAGGTCTCTTTTGTTCTTTTGCATATAAGCAGGTATGCATTCACCAGAATTTCTGTACTGTTCATGCTAAGGATTGTGCGTTCTTCGAGGAACAATGGTGTAGCCAGCCTTGATGTGCTTATCTTATTTGGTGTATTTTCCTGTTCTTTTAATGTTAAAGTTGTCCAGTTCAATATGGAAGGTCAGTCACTTCTTCACTGTCTGGTCCTAAGCAGAGAATGCGATTAATAAGCTGCAGTCAGCCATCTCTGCAGAGTATGTTCTGCAGGTTGTTCATTTAGACTCTACAACAGAGTTGAGAGTCTGCAAATATAAAATAATTTCAGCCTTATTGGATTGAAAATGCTGCATTGTGTGGGACAACATCTGGTTACCTGGGTAACCAGTGACCTTCTAACAGTACTTGCTGCTCATTTCATGAATCTGGTGTATTTTCAGGGAGGCAAAAAGCCTTTCTGTTCAGTTTGCCAGTCAGCATAGAGGGTTGCATTAAAAAAAGGACCCTGAGGTCTTGTGGGAACTGGTGTAACTACAAGACTAGCTATAATGTTGAAAAGGACATCTGTCAAGACTCAGCATTTTGATGACCACACAGAGTATCATTTCGGCAGGAGCTCAACAGTTCAGTTAGGGGACAGCACACTAGAAAAAATAGTTCATTTTCCTAACTCTGCAACCTTTAGGTGTATCTGCAGCTGTGTGAAGGAAAATATTACTAGATAGCAGATATATATACACATAGAGAGAGTATATGTAGAGAATAGAGTTGTACGTAACACATTTAAGGTGTGAATACCTGTGTCCCATGTGATACAGGTAACATCCCACCCAACTGATCACACCTGCACCTTCTCTTCAAATCCTCATATCCTGCTGTCTGTGGAGCAGATATATAATTTTTAAATTACTAAAAAGAGGTATTTTTATGCAGTATCCCTGAAAAGACTCTCTTGCATCTTGATTCAACCAGGTCACAGGCTTTAGCACTTGGAAAAGACACACAAGGGCTGTTGGAAAGCATGGCTGCATTGCCATTGCAGTTGGGTCATGGCTATGTTTGTGCCAACAAAAGCTATCAAGACAAGTCAACAGATCATATTAGGCCACTTCATGCTGACCGGAAAACACTCCAGATTGGAGAATAGTCTTGGCAGTGTGGAACTGAGGCAGCTGACACAGACTGTCATTTAGAAATAAGTATTAGCAGAGGTCATGTGAAATGCTAAAATCTTTTTAGAGAGAAATTTTACATACACAAGTTTACCACAGCACACAGCTTCTGTGTCTGCAGGGCCTCAGTGCTGCTTTCTTGCTAATTTAATAATTTACTGAAAGCCTTTTAAAATGCAGTTACTGAACCTGGTCCCCCATATAATTGATTCCATTTATGCCCATTGTCAAGGGCAGAACCAACTGTAGCCAGGCTTAGCGATGCTCCAGGTACCCCAGAGAGGGAATGCTCTTCTGCAGAAAAGCTTTTATTCACTTGAACAAAAATACGCACTTCAACAAAAAGAAAATGTGTCCCCAGCACCAGAATTTCTTTTTGGAAACCTTTTCTAAAACAATTTTCAAGAGAGCAAAACAGAGACATATAGATATCAGCAATCCAAGTTAGGAGACAGACTCCACTAACTGGACCACTTCACCAGACTTGTCCTACTTGGATACACACTTATACACAGGCAGCAAGAAAGAAAGTCTCTGCTTTTTCTGGGCATGAAAGAGACACATTCAACATCCAGTTCTGAACCAGGCAGAGCAGAACAAAGCTCAATATTCCCTACTTAAAACATCACATCCGTGGATTTAATCCAAAGCTTAGAAAAATCATAGGGAAAATTACTAGTCTCACTTCACTGTCAGCTGCTGGAAGAAATAAGCCATTTCTGCTGGTCTTTCTTAACCAACTTGAATATTTGAAAGGAAATAAAAATATAAGGAAAAATATCTAGAGAAACAATATCCACAGGATGAACTTCATATTTTGAATTCAATCCAAGAGTACAGTATTGTGTGCATTATTTTGATACAACTTCATTGCAGGGAGAGAATGAGATGGTTTTATGAAGAAAATAATAATATCCTCCACTCAGGGAGCAAACCTGCCCTCCCCTGCTCTGTACCTTCAATGGTGCAGTCTCACCTCTCCTACCCACCAGCAGACCTATGCCTGTGCAGGGTGCTGGGTGCCTGGAAATACAGCCAGAAACGTTCATTCAGTACTATTTCACAAAAACAATCTCATCTCCCAGTTTATGTGGAGATGCACTCAACTTCATCCTTTTCTTCTGGTGAGATGAAGAGGCAAGTCAGAATTATATAACAGCCACTCGCAGGTCAGTCCTGGAAATCAGTGCATTTTAATGGCTGAGTACTGAAAACAGACGGCACATTGCATGCCACCAAAGCACAACATGCCCTTCAAAGTGTGGGAACTGGCTATTGGCTAATTATTAAAATAGGAATAATCTGAGTTAAACATTGCTTTAGCCTTGCAGTCCCTCGTTTGCTATGAGACCACTGTGTGCTGAGCCCTGCATCAGCAGCTTGTGTCCTTCCCTCTGCAGGATGAGGTTGAACCCTCCTTCCCAAAGACACTGCAGAATGGGAAGCCGTCTAATACATGGCTTTTAGGAAAGGTAAAGAGCAGTCTCCTGCCAATGATCTTCATTACTGGATTTTTTACATTTTTCCACTATAAAACTGAGGAGTCTGGGCCATAAATAATACCAGCAGGGCTTTATCTGCAATTTAAATTTATCTGCTTCTGCAACACTATTTTCAGATGTATTTTTTTCTCTTTGTTGGTATGTGACTATATTTCCTTATTAGCTTTCACATTTTCTGTCCATTTTTAAATTTCTACGTAGTATAAACTGGCTCATGTCACTGTGCTGCATCCCGCAGTTACAGAGTCATAAGTGAAGAGGCAGGAATGGTGGAGAAAGGTAAGTGTAACACTGGTAATACAAACTTGTCCACATTTTCAGAGAAACTATAAATTCTTTTACATTACAGAAGTCCAACACAAAGCTACAGATTATAGAGGTACAATACACTGTTCACAGTGTAATCCACAATTGTTGAGGAAAAAAAAACAACTCCAAACAACCTGAAGCCCAGCTGTAGAGCAGATTATAGGCTTGTGCAACTGATGCAAAAAGGAATTTATCCCAGAACATCTTGTGCCCTAGAACTTCTTTGAGCTCCCCCTCTGCTCCTATAAATCTATTTCTGTGCACTCCAGCAGTCTGCTCCTGTACAACAGCAGTTCCCTGGCCCTACTTCATTCTGCCTGGATTATCCAACAACACAGGTTATTTGAGGATTTATTGTTAAGCCCTGGTCCTAGGAAATGTGGAAACATGAATTCTGCAAATCAATAAACCACATATGCAAAAGTCTTCACTGGCAGGCTGCCCCAACAGGACCTGACTTTCGTCCAAAAAGGTATCGTTCTACAGAGATTAACTGATCATCACTGTACAAACACCAGGGTCACTGGCACTGCCTGCCTCAAGAGGCTGTTGGAAATCCCCTGGTGTCCAAGCTTCAGTTGCACAGATCCGTCCTCTCCCTACTTTTCCCACACAGCAGCTGTGGGCTGTCCTTTACAGGCTGTGGTTTATGATCCTGAACCCAGATCCAAAGTTAAAAGGTGAGGGGGGAAGAAGGAGATGAAATATTTTTCTGAAAGTTGTCACTTTTTATGCATATCAAAATGTTTCTTTGTTATTCATGTGAAGTTCTTTTACATTCCTTGCTGAAGTATTACAGAACTACAAAACTGTTTCCTTCAGGTGAACAACATAGAGATGCTAAATGCAACCTGAAGTTAGCACTGTTACCTGTGCACCCAATCCTGAAGCTGAATTGTCCTGAGCGACAGGATTTGCACCAAAGCAGAAACACAGTTGTGTTCATCAACTTCTGCTCACCTGGAACAGTCAAGCTCCAAGCGAGGCTGCTGTCCGGGCTGCTGCTTCCTCCCACCTTCTGTGCAGAGATTCACGTTGCTCCCAAATAGACAGTGCCCAGCACAGCATTTTGAGGCAAACAAAACCACATATAACAGCTTCAAAGGCAGCAAGTAAGAAGCTGACCCATGAGCACAATGGATGAGTGCCATGGGGCTCACTGCATGACCAGTCACCTTGCTGTTCCAACCTCTTTCCAGCAGTGAGATCAGACGCTGGTGTCTGTCCAGCTTCTGCCAGATTAACTGACAGCTATAGAAAGAAGGTTTAAAAATCTGTATTGATAAAAATGTGCTAAGATACACAATAACAGATTACAGAATCACAGAATGAACTAGGTTGGAAAAGATCTTTAAGATCATCCTAGTCCAACCTATGACCTAACACCTCCACATCAACTAAACCATGGCACAGAGTGCCACGTCCAGTCTTACTTTAAACATCTCCAGGGAAAGTGACTCCACAACCTCCTTGGGGAGATGATTCCAGTGCACAATCACTCTTTCAGTGAAGAATTTTTTCTAAAACCTCCCTTGGTGCAGCTTAAGATTGTGTCCTCTTGTTCTGTCAGTTGTTGCCTGGAGAAAGAGACCAACCCCCACTTGACTACAACCACCCTTCAGGAAGCTG